AGGGACCCAAAAAGGGACCCGAATTTTGACAACCACCCACATGAGGAGATGGAAGGGAAGGAGGGCAAAAGAGAGAACAGAGACGGAGACGAAGAGAGGCAGAGAGAGACAGAGAGACTTGAAAGGCCCCTTAAGGAATCTTAGGGTCTTAGGGTTCCTTTAAGGGATCCTTTAAGGGATCTTAACGGGTTCCTTTAAAGGTGCCTTTAAGGGATGTAGGGTTTTGGGATTTTACCAAACAGGGAACTCCACGACGAGGCAACCTCGCCGAGTCCGTCCCGATGTCGGCCGGTCAAGCTACGTGTCCTGGCGCTGATGCCTTGAATCTCCAGTCGGAACTTCTCCCTAAACCCCAGGACCCCAAAGCCTGAGTGTTGAGTCGGAGCCCGAACCCAGCAATCTGATCCTATAACTAAAGCCCAGGCCCTATATAAACCCTGAATCCTATAGAAACCCTCACTTTAACCCGAAATCCACAAAGCTCTCCTTGGAGAGGAAGAGCACTGTTCTCCAGAGCTGTCGATACCCGCCACAGCAACTGCGGCCAGCAACCTCAGCACAGAGGGCCGGAGTAGAACTAGAAGGGGTTTAGAATGCAATCTTCCGAGTTTTCCTGAACCCTAAAAGAACCTACAAGGATGTGGTTTGAGAAGGTCCGTTCTTGGTGGTGTTATGGTTTGGTTTTGCGTTCCGGAGCTGTCAAAACCCTATCCAAAACACAACGAAACCCGATGCAGCCTCGCTCAACAAACTTAAACCCCAAACACTATCCTGGCTTCTTGTTAAGGAGCTTAATCTAAGTTGCCATAATAGGGACCTATGGTAAATGATATGTTTCTTTATTATGGTAGCTTAAGCTCCTTAACAAGAACCCAGGATCGGTTCCAGGTTCAGTCTGGGTTCCAGCGTTGCCAGAGCAGCTCTTGTGCATGTCAGCACTTGAGAAGGTGCGGAGCATTATTATACTACGGCTACTTCTACTACTTTCGACCACTACAACTAGAATAGAAGCCCTTGAAGCCCTTGAAGGGGGGCTTCGAAGGCTTTGAAGGGGGGCTTAGAGGCTTTGGTGACTAGAAAAGGGCCCTATCCTAATACCAGTAGTGGTGTAGGGCCTTTAGGGTTTAGGGTTTCGGGCTTTGGCGTTCTCAGGTTTGGGTCCATTCCGTCAAGAGATGAAGCTCCTGGAAAAGGTGCACTTCACTTCACTTGCCCAGATGTCTTTCAACGGTTCAGATTTCCGCACTCCCCAAACACTTGGCAAACTCGAACCTGCTCTAGCCCAAAGGATGTGCCTAGAACATGCGAACCCGAACCCCTGAACCTCAGTCACAAACTTAATCCACAAAACCTAAACCTTGAACTCTAAACCGATGTGTTGCCCACACTGCTGGGGCTCGGCCGACCTTCTAGCCAAAATATGGCTGAGATCTCACAACAACCCCCCACACACGTCAGAAACCGAATCTAACCCCGAAGCCCTGAACCCCAAGCCCCAAGAGCCAAACCCTAAACCTCTACACCCCAAATTCAATAATATTATTATGGGTATCATTGTATCAGTGTTACTATTGCGATGACTGCTATTCCGATTATTACTGCTACTGTTACTTCTGTTATTATTACTACTATTCAGTATTACTATTACTATTACTATTGCTAGTATAAAACCCCCAACAATAAGCCCGAGGAGGAGCCCGCGGAGCCTTCAGAATCCGGGCCCTCTTTCAAGAATATCATAGCCTTTATAGCCTATGTAGCCCTCATATGGGGGCTTTCATTTGGTTTAATTATTGCTTTTGGGCCCATGATACTAGAATTATGATAAGGAGCCCCCAAAGTGTAGTTATGTAAACCCCTACTTGGAGGATCATGGGGCTTAGTAAATAAGGTTATAAGTACCTTAATTGGGGTTATAAGTATAGTTACCCTAATCATAACCCTAGTTACTAAGTCCCATGATCCTTTAAGTATAGTAATCCAAACCAAGCAAAACACCTTCTCACGTACACAAAACACCTTAACTTTCATCCCTAAGCCTCTTAGAACCCGAACCCGAACCTTCGAAATGACCCTCAAGGAACCTTTGGGGTTTAGGGTTTAGGGTTTAGGGTCAAGGAACCTTTGAAGAAGCTCTCAAGAAGGAATCCCCAAGTCCCAGACGACGCGGAGAGCCTGCGCACCATGGCAGCACACTCGCAGCAGCACCCGGCTGGCCGAGCATAGCGGCATAGCGCCGAGGTGTTTGGGGCTTGGAGTTCAAGAATTCTATGCTGAACTTAGAACCATAGCAAAAAGTATAGTTTTAGCTGTTTCTTAGGGACTATACTAACCAAAAATAAAAAGCATTTCTAAGTACCCCTAAGAATTCGTGGTTTACTGTTCTGCGCTTGGGTTTTGAGGTCTGGGGCTGGGCTAGGCTTCACGGAGCTCTGGTATCAGGGTCCGGAGATCTGGCACCCTTACGTTAGTTCGGGGCGGGTTGAGATGGGGATATCGGTTTGCTTGAATCGTTCTCCAAAGATAGCAGTTCCGAAAGAGTTGGCCTAAGCCCTAAACCCTAGTAGAATCACGACCAAACCCCAGTTAATAGAACACCCCCCGTGGAGGACACCGACGGCTCCCTAGTGGACGTCGCTCATGGTCTTCCATTTATAGTAGGGTTTAGGGGTTTAGGGTTTAGGGTTGTGGTACGTTACATGGTGTTATCCTGATCATACTGCCACATAAAACCCAATGACCAAGTCCCCGGTAGAACCTTTCCGGTTTAGGATGTCTCTGGGCTTCGCTCATGAGAACCAAGTAAGCTGAGGACGCATTTGGGATGTAGGGTTTAGGGGACAGACACGCACACATAAGTACATATGTAGACCTTTAGTATTGGAATGCTTCACGTAATTATACATAGGCCATAGCAATTAATTTGCTTGTGCAATATAGAAGCCTGAATAAGTAAACTGGGGTGTTGAACCTCACGGAATACTCTTTGTAATTATAAACCCTAAACCCTAAACCCTAAACCCTAAACCGACTCTATGTGTCTGTGTACTTGGAGGGGTTTGTGGGATCGCGGGAGTCCGACAAGAGGCCCTCTAAGAGGGTGGAAGGTAGTTCAGGTTTTAGGGTCCGTGGTTTAGAGTTTAAAGCTGTCGGTTTAGGGCTCCAGGGTATTATTCAAGGTTGATGGCTTGAGAGTTTTGGCTTTGGGGTCCGGGTTTAAGGGCCTTAGCGGACTTTTGGGTGTCTCCTTCGCTTAGAGCAGTAGAATTCGGAACAGGGTTAGTTAAGGTATCAGTTTTTCTGGGTTTCGAGACAAGGTTCATGGTTAAGGTGCGGGGGCATATTTATGTAGGGGCTAAAAGAAAGGACCCCCGGACAGTACGTAGATCCCCAGTTCTACCCTGCTGCTTACCAAGGCACCATGATGCTGCACGCACGCCATCCCGTAGGACCCCGAGAACCCTACTTAAAGGATCATGGGCCTTAGTAACTAGGGTTACAATTAGGGGAAACTATACTTATAACCCCAATTAAGGTACATTTAACCTTACTTACTAAGTCCCATGATCCTAAAAGTAAGCAGGAAACCCCGAAACCCCAGGCCCTCTTTTCATTCGCTCTCGCCGCCCACGGCAGCAATGAGGTCCCTCAGCGTCACTGCGAAGGAGATGAGGCCACCGATCGCCTGGCTGAGCAAAGCGGTGGGGGTTCCTTTCAAGGGATCTATAAGGGTTCTATGAGGGGATCTATAAGGGGGCTTAGGGTATGGGGTGTACTTGGAGGATCATGGGACTTAGTAAGTAAGGTTATAAGTACCCTAATTGGGGTTATAAGTATAGTTACCCTGATTATAACCCTAGTTACTAAGTCCCATGATCCTTTAAGTAGAGCCTCACATAGGGAGCCTTGTTGATTAGAATGGATTTTGGTACTAATTGCAGAACAGGTATACGGGGTCTAATAAGTGGATTCTAGTACTAACTATGTCAGACCTCTACAATACAACAAGTAAACACACTTCCTTGATGAACAGTTGCTGCTTTTCCATACGCTTATGAAATAAGGCTTGCCAACTTTTCACGCTCTGGGCCGATGATGATGTTGATGATGATGATGATGATGATGATGACGATGGTCATCTTAAGCTCCGTGCGATTCGTGACTTCTGACTGTTTTTACCGTTGATCTGCTGCTCCTTTCCGTCTTACTAGTCTGACATGCGCAGTGACGGGTACTTTTCTTGGTGACTCTTGCTACGTCTTACTATGTACGACTTGACTAGTTCTTCGAAGTTTACCACTGTCGCATATGTGGCTACCATTCCTGCAGCGGCTCTTAGCTGCGCTCGTTGCCGTCATCTTCAGTTTGTTGACCATTGGCATTTCATGGCCAAGAAAGAGGAAGCGGAGGAAAAGTGCTCATGCTTCAAGCCTTCAAGCACGCCTCCTTCATGGACCCAGCGTCTGGGTGAAAACTCGTGTTGCTTCACGAGTGGGACACGTGGACATGCAACATGTTGCGACCGTTTGCGTGCGGCACGGTTGTATGTCGTAACATGGAGCTGCATCGCTCGCTCACTCTTGCGCAGCATATTGCAGACACATCGGAGATTTATTGCAGACTTTTCCTAGCGGTCATGAAATTCTCGTCAGGCTGGATTCGGCAGAGCTTGCGGGGAGAGAAAATGGCCCATGCAAGCCTCAACCGATTCCAATCCGCTGTCTTGAAGCTAGGCCAGAACTCGAACGAGGCCGGAACCTCTTCTAGAGTGGAACCTCTCAAGACAGGTGACTCGAATTTTTTGCAACAGAGAGTCTGGCGAAAAACATATTCTCCTGCAAATTACAAATCTAACTGACAGTCTTCTCGCCACAGGGGGCCGAGCAATTCCTCGCGCCTCGTGACTCCCCGCTTGTTCAAAGTTCTCCTATCGACGGCCTCCTGTACACGCCGAAATGCACTAACGGAGGTTGGTTCTCCTTCATCATGGCTCACTCCACTCAGAAGCAGAATGTAGCAAGGACTGCGATCAAGGCCAAGTTCATCACACCGGAGGACACTGTCGAAGATGACGGGCCTGTGGCAAGCCCTGCGCCAGGGGCAATGGCCGTGGTCTTGCCAGTCACTTGGATCGTGCCCGTGTAGCCGGCATCCGCAGCGGCCTGGGTGATGGCGCCGTTGGTGTCCTCCAGCGAGACTGCATCGATCTGTGCCCGAGTTTGGTCGGCGGCCGCAGCACTTGGCAAGCTTGGAGCTGCCTTGAACCAAGGCGTCGCCCAGACTGCGTGGTGAACTCAAGCGTTACTTGAGAGGCATTCACGCTCATCACCTGCGCAAAGCCCGCGATCATTGCATTGGTCAAAGTGGCATTCTCCGTAATCGTTGCTGGGTCATCCACTGTGAGTGGGAGGCTGACCTCCACGACCGTGGGAACGGCTGTCGTTGAGGCCCCGGTGGTGGTGGTGGTGGTGGTGGTTGAGGCCCCGGTGGTCGTGGTAGTCGTGGTGGTCGTTGTAGTCGTGGTAGTTTTTTCGTGCAGGAAGAAGCACCCTTGAATAGCGTAAAGATGGCGTGGCCGCCTTCGAATGAAACACAGTCGCCAAAGATGATAGTGCTATATGTGATTGGGGAATAGGCATCAGATGTACAGGGGTTGGCGAAGTCCGCCTGGAAAATCATCCGATCCGTACCGTTACACTCCCAGTCATTGCACCCCCGATTGAGCTCCTCATAAGCCACCGAATCATGGTCGCCGGAGCAATCTGAGCTGCCAGACCACCAAAGGTATCGGGCCCAATTGTCGGTTGTCGGCTCTGCCATCGAAGTAAATGTCCTCGTCGTAGTCGTGGCCGTCGTCACAGTGGCTGTAGTTGTGCTGAAGGAAATGATTTCACGCGTTTGGTATAACCCGCCTCCTGTGGCATGGCACTCCACGGAGTAGCTATTGTTCTCGATGGGTTCCCCGGCGCAGTCCTCGTTGTCATAGCGGAGGCTGAATTCCACCGTCATGTCGTCGCTGATGGCGGTCGATTGCCAGACGGTGGGCTCCCCGGTACGCTCTCGAATCTTGCACTTGTTCACATCGTCGTCAGTCGTTGGGGTGCCTATCTGCTCGGTGCACGCCGAGTCAGCCCATATGTATTTTTCACCTGGTACGTGTACAGCGGGTTGAGCTGGGCTTGCACCGCACCCAAGAAAGCCACTGCACGGAGCAACGGAGTCATGGGCGAATCGACAGGGACATGAGGGCACTAGACGATCACTTGCAGGCGCTTGGGAAGTCAAAGGACATGAGTAGATCACTATCATCGACAGCATCACCATCAACATGACCACAATCAAGATCACTATCACAAGTGAAATAATCGTCGTCATGGAGTCAGCCAACGCTGTTTTGCACGGAAGGTTGCGCTAGATTCTAGCCACTACACCGACCCGAAAACCTGTCATCACCTCCCTGCCGGAGCTCAACCTTGAACCCTACTGTCGAGGTCTGAACAATTCGAAACATGCCTTACTATAGTTCCGATAAATAAAACAGAATCAAACCCAAAGCCCCAGTCGAACTATCAAGGGCCCGACGTTAAATCCCGAACCCATCGGGTCAAAGAGATCTCTCAGGCTCAGGCCCCGAAGAGGATGATCGACACATCTTTGATGTCGCCACCTCTAAGCCGAAGGGCTGTTCGAGGGTTTAGGGTTAGTGGTTTTTCTGGGAACCTACTGGGCCGAGGATATTTCCTGTTGCAGTGTTTTGGGGTTCGCTGCGAGGTTTGAAGTTATTGAGGGTTCAGCGTTGTCCCTAAGCAGAAACAAAATCCTAAAGCCTAAACTCGCAACCCTAACCCCTTATAGTAGAAGCCAGAAAGTTGGAACATGGCTTTAGGAGGATTAGTGCTAGGATCCCTTATACTTTACCTTAAGGGCATGAGGATAATGATGTTCCAACTTTCTGGCTGCTACTGTAAGGCACGGACTTTGGGGCAGCTCAGAGTCCCGCCGAAGCCATATTGCAACAGCTAATACTATTATTGAGAGTTTAGGATTTGGGGAAGTTTGTTAAAGTTATGCCCTAAACCCTAAACCGCCACGTTTGGTGCAAAAGTTGGTTTCATATGTTACATGGTTACACGTTTAAGCGTAGGACGCCCAACCTACGTAAGTGAGCGCCCCAGGTCTTGAAACAATCTGTTCTACAAACGCCATACCCTAAGCCACAAATGACCATAAAGACTTCTATAAGGGACTTCATGATTAGATTAGGGTTTCAAGACAAGTACTACTGATAAATTAGGGACTGTCAGGTGGTAATACTACTAGACATTCTGACCCCTGTATGACGCGGAATGCCCACGACCCCTAAATCTTAAAATCCTTCATTCCTTGGTTGGAAGAATCTTACACGCAGGGAGTCTTTTCCTGTGCAAGATTTGTAACTTGTAACCATGAAACCTGCGGTGCCTCGGGTAGCATCCGTGCGATCTTTGCGCCGGAGGTGCAGTAAGCCTCCGTCCGTCATGAGTTGGCGCTTAGGGTTTACGGTCTGACAGTTAAAAGTTGCGAGTCAGGCCCTTGAAGAGCTCTTGTAATAGTAATAGTCATAGTAATGGCAATAGTAATAATGGTATTGGCGATAGTCGCAGAGTGGTGATAGTGATAATAACTGTGGCTGCACTAGCCATGCAGCCATAGCAATAGCAACAGTAGTGACACTACTAGTCATCGTATTATTAATCGTAACAACAACAAAACCATTAAGACTTATAGCAGCAAGAGTAAGAATGATTATTAGTGGTAGTAGTAGTAGTAGTAGTAGTAGTAGTAGTAGTAGTAGTAGCAGCAGCAGCAGCAGTAGTCGTGGTGGTGGTAGTAGTAGTAGTAGTAGTAGTAGTAGTAGCAATAATGATAATAAAGGCAGTGGTAGTCTCAATGCAATAACAGTAAGTATTGCAACAGAAAATAGCAAGAGTGATAGGTATCGATTGGCTGAGTCGTTTGCATGCAGTTGTCGTTACCCCACAAGAATCGCTGATTCTCAGAGGCTCGTTCGACAGAGAACGAGAACTATAGAAGCTAAAGGCTAAGCCGCCCCGGCTTTACAGTTGTTGAAACCCTGAGCCCCCGTAGCGTATCCTTCAGGCTTACTGTAAACGTTAATATAGAGGTCAGCTACTCTTTACGATTAAACCCCCTGAACCACAAGTTGTAGACACTAAGCCTGAACCCCGAAACCCGTGAACCCTAAACTCAATAAGCTCTAAACCCCAAAGCTCGAAACCCATAAGCCCGAAACCCCAAGCCGAAGACACAAAGAGTAACCCCAAGCCCTAAACCCCAAACCCTGAAGCCCAAAGCCCTAATAAAAACCCAAAACCCGAAACCCTAAACCCCTAAACCTTTCGCCCAAATCCTTATAATAGCCTTTGTAGTAGCCCTTATAGACCCCTTTAAAGGAACCCTACTCCAATTACATAAGGCCCCTATAGTAACCGCCCGACCTGGCAGAATGAACGCCAGGAAAGAGCAGGCCTCGGTTGAGTCGCATCGTAGGGGGTTTATCATAGGGTTTAGGGTTTAGGGTTTGGGGACTTAGTAAGTAAGGGTTTCTTAAAGGGCTCCTTAAAGCTATCTACAGGGATCTACAGGGTTTAGGCTTTAGGGCTTCTTACTTGGAGGATCATGGGACTTAGTAAGTACGGTTCCCTAAAGGGCTTCTTAAAAGGGATCTATAGGGTTCCTTAAAGGGATCTATAGGGTTTAGGGTTTTGGGGTCTACTGAGAGGATCATGGGACTTAGTAAGTACGTAGGGTTATAAGTACCTTAATCGGGTTACAAGTTTAGTTACCCTAATTATAGCCCTAGTTACTAAATCCCATGATCCTTTAAGTAGGACTTAGGATTGAAGTTTAGGGCTTTACCAGGGTTTTGGGTGGTTTAGGGGTTTACGGTTCAGGGGTTTAGGGCTGTAGAGCTTTAGGCTTTAGAGCTGTATTCAGGGCTTCAGGGCTTTGGGGTTTTTGGGTTTAGGGGCCTGCAGCCCTAAACTCCAACATCCACATGCCCAAAAGCCTACTACCGGGGCCTTAATCATTTCAACGGGGCTTTGGGTCCTATTCTACTATGATTATAGTAAGGAGCCCGCAGAATAGGGTTCCTGAATAGGGGTCAAAAAGGGCTAGTAACGGCCAGTATGGGTTCCTTTGAAGGGCTACTACCAGGGCTAGAACAAGGATTTTTAGAGTAGGGGCCTTAATGATCAGAATAGGGTTTGGGTGGTTCCTTATAAGAACAACCATATAACATACCCCCAAACCCCATTCTAGAATGGCCGCTGTACTCGCCTCAGACTTCTGTCCGCATGCACCCCCAAACTCCATTCTAATTATTAAGGCCCCTATATTCTAGAACTCTACTATGAACCCCTTATAGACCCCTTTAAAGGAACCCCTATCCCCCTATAGTAGGTCCACAGGCTTGAAACACGAAAACCCCAAGATTCTAGAAAAGATCAAGACCCAAAGCCCTAAAAGCCCAAAGCCCTGAGAATCCTAAAGCCTCAAGCCCGAACAACACCCTGAAATGGGCTAAAAACCCAAAGGAACCCGAAACCTGAACCCTAAACCCCTAAACCCCAAACCCCTAAACCCCTAAACCCCTCAAACCCCTAAAACCCCCAAGCACCCCAAGCACAAAGGATCGGGGCGCCCCACCAGGGAGCCGATGATGCCCAGGAAAAGGCCGAAGTGAGGAATCTGGAGACCTTTCTTTCAGGGTTTAGGGCTTAGGGGTTTAGGGCTTAGGGTTTAGGGCTTAGGATTTAGGGCTTAGGGGTTTAGGGTTTAGGGGTTTAGGGCTTAGGGTTTAGGGCTTAGGGTTTTACGGCTTAGGGTTTTAGGGCTTAGGGTTTGGGGCTTAGGGAAGAATACAGGGGGCATCATAATTAGAATAGGGTTCCTTTAAAGGGTTCCGTAACATAGGGGCTGTATAAGGGATCTATAGTAGGGTTCTGTAATAGAGGGGCCTCAATTAATAATTACTAGAATAGGGTGTTGGGGTCCATTATGCTACAATTACAATGAACACCCCAAAAATGGTATAGGCATTTATTCAGGCCCTTATAATCGGGCTTAGTAGGCTCTAGGGTTGTATGGCTTGTTTTTTGTTTTGGTGGCTTAGGGCTTTAGGGTTTGGGGGGGTTGGGTGATTTGGGGTTTGGGCGTTTGGAACAAGGCCCGGGGCCTGGAGAAGCAGCTTTAAAAGTAGGCTTTACAACAAGCTGGGAGACACACACAGACTGAACCTGAAATCACAAAACCCCTATATGAAACCCCAAGCCACCCAGCAATCATGCCCAAACCTTACAAGCCTCAAGCAACAACCCACTCCCTAACTTCTACGCCCAAGACATCGCTAAACCTGAAAAGCCCCCAAACCCGATTATCCCCTAAGGCTTAGCCATGGTTTCGGACCCCAAAAAGCACCTTCGGATGCCCCGGATATAGAAACGAAACTTGTGCCTTTGCAGGGGTTTGCTTCTGGGCTGCTACATGTCACAATATTAGGGCCCGAATTATTGGAATCGAGCCTGGGTTACATTACAGCATGCTTGTATATGGGGACTATGAATGGGATCATATTTTCTTCCAACAGATATGTTTGATTTTGCCAACTCCCAAGCTCAAATCCTAAACCCTGAACCCTCAACCCTACATTAAGCCCTGGAAACACCACCCAAAAGAAAGCAGCACAGAGTCCTGCGCAAGCCCTGTCTCTGAACTCCTACGCCCGAAGAGCTGAACCCATGACCCTGACTGATGGGAGGTCACACGGCGGGGGGTAAGATTCTTGGGCTTGGGATTCCTTAATATGCACCCTACTATGGGAACCCGAATCCCTACTAAACCCCCATAGGCTAAAACGCCTTTTGGCCTCCTATGACAAGGGGGCCTCAGGAAATAGAATCGGGATTCGAAGTACAAAAGAAACATCACCATCAGGAACCTCGAGTTTGTCATGTGGGTAAAGTATTCAGGTCTCTGTTGTAGCCCTTACTAAACCCTGGCTGCAGTGAATAATGCCAGAGTAGAGGGGCCAATGACACCAGTCATCACCACCAGCCTCGAGAAAATGATTCTCCGAGGCTTTGCATGTGGCTGCTCATTGGGTTTATGGTTTACTTAAAGGATCATGGGACTTAGTAACTAGGGTTATAGTTAGGGTAACTATACTTATAACCCCAATTAAAGTACTTATAACTTTACTTACTAAGTCCCATGATCCTCCAAGTAGGGTTTGTCATGCGGCTTTGTAACGAAATATTAGTCTGCAAAGGGTTCGGGTGTTGGGACTCGCAGCGATTTAGGCCTGTTGGGTGAAGGGCTTCTGGTGCAGTGTTTCCAGGGCTTGCGGCATGCTATGGCATAAGGCTTAAGGCTTTCTGGTCGCGGGTTGCAGGGTTTCAGGTCTTGCAATGAGAAGGACACCGTTGTGTGACATCCCTAATACGATTGTAATTCGAGGGGCGGAGCCCGTAGTCTGTAGGCTTCTCCATCGGAACGAGCTACGCGCATCTCCGTCTCCCTGCGACCCTGCAGATACCAAGCAAGTACACTCGTATCCCACCAACTATCCTGGAAGGAAGCCTAACATCAACGCAACCTCGTCTGAATGTTTCTGAGCCCACATCGCCACGGACGAAGTGGGATTTTAGAGCCAAGAGTTAATTCGAAATTCGACTGCGCAAGTGCGGGGAGGGACATGGAGGCATGTCTGATGAACATCGAAAACTGAAAAGCTTTCGTGTCCACAGTAGAAAAGAAATAAAGATAAGCCGGATAGAGACTGTTGCTCTTCTTGCGTGGTCTTGCTGCGCAGAGGTCAAGAGAAGCCTTTCGCGAACGACCAAAAGTCACTAACCTTAAGAAGCAGACAAGTTGGAACATGGAAACAATAGATCGCAACCCCCCCAAAGTAGTACAGGTAATCATTTAGGCTTCCATGCTAAAGCCGCATAGTAGCTCTTATAGTAGCCCCTACAGACCCTTTTAAACGGAACCCCTTTAAAAGGAACCCTACTTGGAGGATCATGGGACTTAGTAAGTAAGGTTATAAGTACCTTAATGAGGGTTACCAGTATAGTTACCCTAATCATAACCCTAGTCACTAAGTCCCATGATCCTTTAAGTAGACCCTAAAGCCCCTCTTATAATAGAACCCCTATAGATCCCCTTCAAAGGAGCCCTTTAAAGTATAACCCTATAGCTACTAAGTCCCATGATCCTTTAAGTACCCTAAACCCTTATAGATCCATTATAGAACCCTTTAAGGAACCCTTGTAGATCCCTTTAAGGAGCCATTTAAGGAACACACAGCCCTCCGCTTCTAGGCGGCCGGGCACTGAGCGGAAGAGAAGACGGCGCCAACTGCGACGCTGGTCGCGAAGGCAGCGAATTTTCCTTTCTCACGATGTGACTATCGTTAGGCGCTAAACCCTAAACCCTAAATCCTAAACCCTAAATCCTAGCCTTACAAAGGGCTAAAAGGGTGCAAGCCTCAGGTTTTTTGGGCGGTGAGGTTGAGGACTCAACTTTCCGGCTGCACGGCTTTCAGGGTTCCAGGGAACGGAGTTTAAAGTACGATATTCAAGGAGAGGATACTTACCCATCGTATTTCATCGGGCTCCTAAAGATATCTAACAAAAGCTGCCCCCCAAAGGCAGCTCTAACTGTGATACGCATCTCTTGTTAAGTGGGAGTATCAGGGCTTAAGCATTCATATTTTGGAGATTTCGGGAGCCGGCTTTGGGATGGGGTCCTGAGGTTTGCTTGGGGTTCCAGTGCTAAGTTCTGGGTTCAAGGGCATTGCAAATCCTGCAAAGTCCTCAGTAAGCCTTAAACACGCCACATCGAGTCTACCAGCTCTTGAACCCAAACCAAAATCCTGACTCCTAAACCCAAAATCGTCTAAACCCTAGCACAAGAAAGAGAAAGTGCAAGTGTGTTGGAATCGCTTTGGCAGATCCGGCTACGATCGCTTCGGGTTTAGGGTTTAAGAAAGACAAAACCCGCATCTTTCCGTGAGATCCCTGCAGGCGGACAAGGCCAAGAAGCGCTTCGGTAATCTGGTACAACGGGAACAGCATCACCGGATACCTCGGCTCGATGAATACACCCGTCACTACGGGGCACGAGTATGTTAAACGGAAACCACAAGACTACTATAAGAGCTTCAAAGACCCAGCGAGTATTTTGAGGGAAACCATAAAGATTACTTTTAGGGCTGCCTATGGGGTACGAGCATATTAAGGAAAACCACAAGGTTATCATGAAAGCCATTTCTCGTGATCCGTATGATGGATGATCTATGTGCAGCTCATGCTCATGGGCTGCAAACTTTCGCGTGAGATCTTGTGTGAGAAAGCATGGTCCCGACAGTTTGTGCAATAGTGTAGGTCGACTTTACTTTCCGTACTGGGGCTCGTTTGCCCAACATGTCAGGAGTGAACAATTCTCATGATCGGCAGAAGCCAGCAAGGGCTTTGAAAGTTCGGAGAAATGGGAGTTTCCAAAAATAGGGAACCCTAAACAAGCACACCAAATAGTAGTATCCCTCTTATTTGGACTCCAAAACAAAGTACCCCTAACTTTCGGAAAATCCCGCATAACCTCGTCAATCCCAAGCCATGGGCCTGGTTCAGGGCTTAGTGTTGGAGGGTCCAGAGTTTACGAGCTTGTAGGGTTTAGGGTTCACGGTTTCCTGAACCCTTCCTAAACCTCACAACCCGAGTGCCCTCACCTTCTAAATCCAGAGAACTGAAACTCCAAACGCCAGTGTGTTCACTAAACCTTGATTGGAGCAAGCCTGGTGATTTCCTACGCGATTGCTGGCTGGTAGCACAGAACGGAATAGCGACAAGAAATCAAACTTTGGGGATATTTGCAGGATCACAGGACTTAGTAAGTATAACCTTTGCCGATACCTCAGTTGCATTGTTTAACTCTTCTTGTAACTTCTAAATTCTACCCCAACCCCCACGCCCTTTAACTCTAAACTCTGACATATGTAATGCAGGGGCCTCAAGAACTACCTATACCATTTTTGGTGTTCCCTGCTATTCTATAGTCTAATCTACTATCTTTGGTGCTCCTTGTTACAATTATAGTATGAATACCCCCAAAGCCCTACCCTAAGTATTAAGACCCCTTTTGTATGCGTCCCCTCACCCTACGAGGCGATCCTTCGCCATAGAAAAAAAGGAACCGCCAAAATCGTGTAGTTTAGGGTTGTGGGTTTAGGATTTAGGCTTTAGGGTTTAGGGTTGAGGGTTTAGGGTTTATAGGTAACTATTCAGGCCCCTATTTTACAGCTCACTCCAAGGGCTCTCGGTGCTGATCAGTTTAGCATTCTGGACTTCGGATGCAAGGGCTCAAGGCTCAGGGTGTGGGGGTTTGGGGCATGGGGCTTCAGGGTTTAGAGTCTGGGGCTTCTGGCCTTCGAGGTTTGGAGTCGGTCCGGGTTTGGGGCTGACAACCCCCGGCTGAAGCTCTCCGATCTGTTCGAGGCACGTGAAAAAGATGCCCAGGCCTCAGCGAGAGCTGCAAACTGATTCTCCCTAAGCTCAGAACCAGCAGCTTTTGCTCAACAGAAGGCGATGTTGTGTTCACAGAGTTCTAGCGAGCACGACGCAGAAGGCAAAAGCTCTCTGCAGGATCCCATATCTGCCTGCCTGAGGGCAAGACAATAAAACAGCCGCAGGAAGGACGTGATCTTGTTTTGCGGAATATTGAAAGTAATCCTCAGTGTCGAAGGCAGGAATATAGGGGCCTTATAATGATTAGAATAGGGTTTTGGGGTATATTGTACACCAATGATAAGGAATCCCCCAATCAAGTATAGGAAATTCTTAAGGCCCCTATACTAAGGCTAAGCACAGAAGGACGGGTTCGGACTTGCAGGGGCCACCACACCGCCTTTTGCGACCGTGCTGCATGTCCTCTGTCTTCAGACCTGGGCAACACGAGGTTCGGCAATCAGTGGAAGCCATGTGAAGGAACGGGTTCTCGGGTTTGCTGTGGTGCTGCTCGTTTCTGATATGTGTACCGACTTACATCCTTTCTGTCGTGACCTTTGACACGAACAAATGATACTTCACAGTTGGATCTTTGCAAGATCCATACGGAGTACAGCTGCCAGCGGCCCTCACTGTTGCAATGCCCTTGAGATTGAGTTTAGGGTTTAGGATTTTAGGGTTTAGGGCAATGGCCCTTGACGTCAACACCATCCTACCATCAGCGTGGTCATCATCACCACCATCACCGCCGCCGCCATCACCACTATCACCGCCGCTATCATGAATATCACCAGCAAAGTCATCATATGTCATCATCATCGTCATGGCCATGATCAGATCATCATCACCATCATCACCATGACCATCATGATCATCATGACGCACGATTGCATGCAGCAGCAGCAGCAGCAGCAGCAGCCGCAACCGAAACACGCGCCTGTGCTTGGTATTTCGAACATCCATGTCAGAGACTCTGGGGAACGAGCCATACGCCGCATAGCCGCACCTTGCAGACAGGCCCGTCCAACCCTGAAGCTTGGGAGCTACCAGGTGTTGAGCACAGGGTTTGGACTCAAACCCCTCCATCCAAAAAGCCGGGGACCCTGACTGTAAGCTTCGTCCCCGCAGTCTTAGCCTCTTCGCCCACTCCGTGCGGCCAAGAAGCATGCCGAAAGAGCCGAAAAGGATACCAAGGATCAGCCTCGTGTACGTACGAAAACAACTGCGGATGCTAAAAATCAAAAACTACATGACAAAGATCCCGGACACCGTCAACAGTCTCATCAACAACAACATCTTCTCCACCATCGCCAGCATCATCACCATCACCACTGCCATCATCACCATCATCATCATCATCATCACCACCACCACTATCGTCACCATCATCACCACCGTCATCATCATCATCATCATCATCATCACCATCATCATCATCACCACCACCACGACTATCGTCACCATCATCACCACCGTCATCATCATCACCACCATCATCATCACCATGACCATTACAATCATCACTAACGTTATCATCATCATCACCATCACCTCATCACTCTCATGGTATTCGTCACTGCGCGCACATCTTGCACTATTCACTATTCATCTGCTCGCAAATTCCTCATGCTCATCATCTTAGTCGAAATCACCACCAGCATCAACATTACGACCGGCACAGCTTCGCTTTTGACTTTCATGCGTGCATCAGTTCCAATTGCCACAACTGCTTGTACAGCCTGAGCCACGCATACATGATCGCTCATGGTACTTGAACACTGTGGCAAGTCTTGCTGTTTCTCCGCTTCCGGTGCTTGCCAAGTACTGACAAGCCCGACAGGACAAGATTTATGAAAAATCAAGACTCCGAGGACTGAACACAAGCGGAGTCGATAAAAGTGGGTATTGAGCTGCGGAGATGTCGGTTTAGATGTATAGCATTTGAGATATCACGGCTGAGAATTTGTCTGTACGATTCAAGGCTTTCGCGTTGCAGGATTTCTGAGCCAAGGGTGGTCCGGAACGATGTGCTGTTGGTAACTATGAGCTTTGAAGCTCTGCAAGGGATCTACGTAATATAAGGGGCTCTAGAGGCTTTAGGGGTTTGGGGCTGGGTGCTTCCGTGCCTAGGTACGCATCGCTCCGCAAGACATAGGACTTAGAGGCATCAGGAGGGAGGGTCGGGAAAAGCCTGGACTTCCAAGAACCTCAAAGCCCAGTAAGTGAACTCCATGCCTTGACAGGCCCTAAACCTTAAACCCCTAACTAATCAGTGGTTTTGGGGTTCCCTTGGCTCTCTAGCTCCTTATTTAATAAGGATTATCATCATCCCTGGCTCCTTAGCTCCTCCAATATCAATGGTTAGCTATACCCTGAACCCTGAAACCCCATCATGTAGGCGCCTTAATAAATAGAACAGTGTTCTTGGGGCCCATTATAGTATGTTTGTAGTAAGGGACCCCAAAATAGTGTTGGTGATTACTTCGGCCCATATATTATAGTGCCCTTGTAGATCCCTTATAGTAACCCTCATAGGCCCCTTCAAAGGAACCCTATTCTAACCCTAAAACCCTAGAGTAGAAGCCAAAAAGTTGGAAACCCAATAGCCTCAATCCTCAAGAGGAGTGTATAGCACTGTTTGGCCTTAATCTGGTTTCCAACTTTTTGGGGTTTACTGTATTCCTCCTGGTAGTACCCTTATAGATCCCTTACAGTAGATCGCTTATAGAACCCCTTAAAGGAACCCTATTCTAATTCTTTTATGTAAGCACATCCTTCCAGGAGCTGAGGGTCCTTGCATCGCCCGGCGGAGGATTCCCGGAAACTTTGCGGGCTGCCTGGTCTTCATTCAAAGGGGAAACGGAGGGACCCTTAATGGGGACCCCTACCCTATAATGGGCTGTATAATGGTATATAATAGCTGTATTAAGGGATATTGAGGGTATATACCTAGGGGTCCTTGTTAAGGGTCCCTCCTTTTTCCCTTGGATTCATTAGGGTTTATGGTTTAGGGTTTAGGGTAAGTCTAGGGATTAGGGTTCTTCAGTCAAAGGACCTTCCTGGTATAGGGGACTTAACAACTAGAATGGGCCTAGAATGGGGTTCCTTTAAAGGGGTTTTTAAGGGCTACGATGAGGCTTGCTGGCATAACATATACTGCGTTCCTGAATCGCACCTGTCTAATAAGCGTAATTACCTTTTTGCCAAATATTCGGTTTTAATTAGGGGACCCTAAACCAAAAAGGGCAAAAAGGTACTACTCAGGCACCGAGTCTTCTTCAGTCAAAGGATCTTCCTATGACAGGGGGACGGGCCCGTAATCTGGAATTGATTGTAACATACTCATGAGCATTGCAAACACATTGTGAAAGCTCTATATGCTTATTGTCTGCAAATGCTCAGACCTAACTATGTTTGCCAATATTTGCGTGCATCTGCAATTGGCCGTCGCTGAACAAGGAACCAAGAATCTTGGGTGGGGTGGAGTGGGCCGGGTTGGGCTGGAGTGGGCAGGACCAGCCAGAATAGGACATGTAGAGTGCTGTTCCCATAGTGGACAACTTGTTCTGAACCCTAAACCCTAAACCCCTAAACCCTAAACCCTAAACCCCTAAACCCCTAAACCCCTAACTCTGTGTTCTGGATTAGCCGGCGGGATGGTGTGAGGTGCGGGCCACTTCTTGCGAAAAAAGATGGCTCTAGGGGTTTGGAGGAGACGGAGGGTTCTGAACTAAGACTCGCTAAATGTAGGGGCCCTTAATAGATAGAAATAGGGTTTTGGGGTATTTTATACTAGAACAAGAATAAGGAGCCCCAGAATAGTATAGGTACTTATTGAAGCCCCTATAATACGACTCCCAGTTCCGGGAGACTGATCAAATCGCCCCCTGGGATTAGGCTGAGGGCATGTCCCTCGAGCACATGCGATGTGGTTTAAGACCCTAAACCCTAAACCCTAAACCCTATTTGGGGTTTAGGGTTTAGGGCTTCCTGGGCTGCCGTCACTTGAAGGATGGAGGGATTGCTATAGCTGCCGGCATGATTTGTTTACGGCATTCAAAACTTTTGAGTTTGGGGTGTGGGGTTTGGGGTTCAGGAATTTCGAAAAAACTTCACCTAGTTTTACAAAGGCTCCATTGCGTCAGAAGGTTTTAGCGAGAATCTACCAAAGGTTTTACAGGGCTTTATCTGGCTCTTGGGCACTTGGTGCGGCGTCCTGAGCAATTTCAATGAGTTTTACATGTGTTCAGACTGTTAAGAGCGGTAAAAAAAAGCATTATAGATTTTAGCAGCTTGCAGTGTGCACAGGTAGGGGCTTTAAGGGGACACGTTCATTACTAATACTATCATGATGTCTTGAGACCCCCGTCTCTTGAGCACAATCCACCAGACCCACAGCCGAAACCCAAACCCTGACCTAAACGCTGCAAACCCAAATCCCAAAGACCCTTAACCGTCGAAACCCCAAATCCTACACCCTGAATCCTGAACACCATAAGACCTTGAGCCTCTGCACCAGATCCTACGTCCACGTAACATAGAGGCATTATCGGTAGAATGGGGTATTGCGGGTAGGTTTTACCAAAATACTTTCAGTAGAATCAGCCTAGGAATAATGCTTCCAACTCTTCCGACCTCTAAATCCTAAAAACCCTAAACCTCTATTTAATCCTTCTGCTCGTCCGAGGGTCGCCATGGCGAACTGGATGGGGAGGATCAGGCCTTGTCAGGATTCCGAACTTGGCTTCGGACTGCTTGCAAGGGTTTAGGGTTTGGGGTTTGGGGCTTAGGGTTTGGGGTTTAGGGTTAGGGTTTAGGGTTAGGGTTGTTTTTTTTGTGAGGGTTTAGGGTTTAGGGTTAGGGTTTAGGGTTTAGGGTTTAGGATGCCCAGCAACCTAGGAATGAAAAGGGCTCCCTTTTTGGTATTGGATAACTTTATAAGGAACCTAGGACTACAAAAAGGGAAATGAGGGTAGCACTGGGCATCCTAGCTGGGGGGGTGTACTATAGGGGGCCTTTCGGGGGGGGTCCTTATTATATTTATCGTATCATGAATCTGATAGGGTGTAATATAGGGGCCTTAATAATTAGAACAGAGTTTTGGGGCCCATTATACTAGAAGTCTAATAAGGAACTCCCAAAAAAATCGACCAGGCAATTATTTACGCCCCTAAAATGGGGCGCAGGGCTTAGGGTTGAGAGTATGGGGTCAGGGTTTAGGGTTCGGGGTCTGGGCTTCGGGTTCAGGGCCAGGGTGACCTCCAGGGCACGGAGCTTTAGATGATGGAGCTGTCCCACAGTCGATTCTTGGATGCTTGACGGGGTCTGGGTAATGGCTCTCATAGCATCTGCGCAATTGAGACAAATACGAAGGGTATCTGAATACTGGCATAAGATATAGCAGCAAGAGACAGCTTTTAGAAGCGGTGACAAACCACGGTGCCAGCAGCTTGTTCGGAAGAACTAACAATAAATCTGACAAACATTAATGGCCACAGCACTCAAAAATACGGAGTTCGGGGTACAGCCTCCGGAATGATAATCTGACAGGGAGTTGGTCTTATGTTGTAAAGCCCATATCAATAGATATCGTTGTTGCCATTGCCGTGAGTTGTGAGCATAGTTTTGTCCCCGGGGTCGGCACCGATACCTTCGAAGGAGAAAACCGCACCTGAAAAGTGAGCTGCGGATATTTGCATTTCTAGTTTCAAGGCTTTGAGCAAAGCATCTAGGTCTTTAGGAGCGGGTGGTAGCATTAGCAGTAGCAGTAGCAGCAGTAGTGCTCGTCAGTAGTCAGCAAATAATAATTAGTTAGTAAGCGATTGTTTGTAGTTTACACTTGTTAGCTCGTAGTTCGCGGTTAATAGTTAAAAGCAAGAAATCAGCAGTTAGTAGTGGTAGCGGTAGTGGTAGTGGAAATAGTAGTGGTAATGGTAGTGGATTTGGTAGTGCCAGTGGTTGTCCTGGCAGTAGTAGTAGTAGTAGTAGTAGTAGTAGTAGTAGTAGTAGTAGTAGTAGTAGTAGTAGTAGTAGTAGTAGTAGTGGTAGTGTAGTAGAAGTTGTTGTCGTTGCTGTTGTTGTTGTTGTGGTAGTAGTAGCAGCAGTAGTAGCAGTAGTAGCAGTAGCAGTAGTTGTTGTAGCTGTTGTAGATGTTGTACCAGGAGAAGCAAGAGCTGTTGAAGCAACACCAACCGGAAGCTGCGTCACTAGCAGGTGCAATCAAGCTCTGCTCCTATGGCTGCTGCTTGCCCACCATATGTGAGTTTCCGAAAATAAGGGGTAGCTTATTGGGGGTCCTTATAATAAGGATCCTACTATTTAGGGTACTATATTAGGGTCCCCTCTTTTCGGAAGCTCCCATGTTGAAGAGCAACAATCCCAAGGAGACGACTCCAAGCTAAACCCCGAGTGCGAAACGTGCTAGTCTCGCTCTTGGCTCGGTCGTGCTTGCCGCTTTAGGGTTTAGGGTTTACTTGGAGGATCATGGGACTTAGTAAGTAAGGTTATAAGCAGCTTAATTGGCGTTATAAGTATAGCTACCCTAATTATAGGTGACAACGCCTGGTGTGCGTCCTGTACGTCCTCTCACTTTTCTTGGGTGGGGGGGGTGGGGGGCTGATTCCGGCCAATCCCGACCCTTAACTCCCAGAGCTGTGGACTTCTGTGGCAGGCAGGCCCAAGCTCTAGTTCTGATCGAAGCCATGTTTCCTTAGGGTCATATGCCGAACACACCGGTAATTACGGCGTGTTCGGCACTTGCTACAACCAACGTCGCGCAAACCATGGGTGGTCCATGTTATTGACGCGGAGCATCCATGGGTCAACCATGTTAACGTCCACTCAGACCAGATCTCATTGATGCAGAGCCTCCATGGGTCAACCATAGTAACGCCCACTCAGACCAAGTTTGCTCAGCGCGGTGCTCGCAAAAGTGGCTTTTACTGCAGCGCCATCACCTTTTTCGCTAAAACGATCGACCTGTCACAGGGATTCTCCGCCTTTCCTGGCACAACTTTTTAGTCATAATACACGTTTTCCCTAGGTTTTAGCACATTGCCTGTTTCAGCTACGCCACAAAACGCCGGTCACATACCAGGCGCTGTTACCTAATTATAACCCTAGTTACTAAGTCCCCTGATCCTTTAAGTAGGGTTTAGGGTTGGCAGGATGTCCTCTGGGTTCCGGCGCTTAAGGGCTCTGCAATTTTCGATGTCGGGTGCTGACGGTGAGTGCGGACGGCATGCGATTCTGCGCGCTGCAAACCCCCGCAGTTCGTCAGCACACACGAGGGCCACAAGGGAGGCAGGAACCCATGCTTGAAAAACCGAAACTCTTGGTGCAAAGCCCTGTTCCCTAAAGCCCACTTGAAAACCTTAAAATCTCACTTGAGAACCTTTGGATGTTGGAAAACCGTCTACAATGCCAAACCCTGAACAACAAACTACAAAACGAGAAAGCATGCACAAATGCTTTCAGCTAGTATAAAGCTTCTGAGATAAGGAATGCAGAAACCTGGACCCTGAACGGCAAACGGTTCCGACGCTATGGAGCTTATAGACCGTAAACCCCTTGATCCATAACCCAGTATACTACGCTGCTGGGCTTGGGGACATCCGAAGAACACGGGGAACTCGGCCCAGTTGAAGAGGATGATGTCCGGGGCGATCCCACTGGTGCCTCGGCATCATGTAACCGGTTTAGGGTTTAGGGTTTAGGGTTTAGGGTGTAGGGAAACGACACGTGTAGCCTTCGCAAGTACGGTTCATCTGGAGATCCTGATCACAAGAGTGCCCGGGCTCTGGAGATTGTCGCTCAGTTTGCCAGCTACATGATAATGGACAGGCTGTAACAATGATGAAGGCAAGAATGATGTTCCAGGAACATTTCAAAAGTGGCAGCACCAGCAATAAAGAAGCTTGCAGCGAACTTCAATTGCTTTACAGCCGCCGATTACTAAGGTCCCATGTTTAAACACACTGAGGGTCAAAACAATCGTCTGCCTCATTGGGCCTTGGTTGGCGACTGGATAGATCGCAGCTCTTCTAAGATTACTGAAAGGATCATGGGGCTTAGTAACTGGGGTTCGGGCAACTATACTTATAACCCCAATTAAGGTACTTATAACCCTACTTACTAAGTCCCATGATCCTCCAAGTAGGGTCTGAATCAGGGGCGCATTCTCCTTTTGCTCACGAAGAACAGAATGTCAACACGCACTTAAGTCAAAGCTCCGGAATTCCGGCAAGAAGATGCTTACAACAAGGACCCCAAAAGTAAGGTACCCCTAATTTTGGAACCTACCAAAATACCGAATACAGCAAGAAGAGACCGGGACCCGGGCCCAACTGCACGAAGCTGCAGTAATAGATCCACGAGATGCCGCACCTGGGACAGTGCAGGGGCCTGAATAATAGGGTTTTGGGGCCCATTATACTCTACATATATACATATATATATATATATATATATGTATATATATAGTAAGGAACCCCAAAAGTAGTATTGGTAATTATTTCGGCCCCTATACTAAATCCTTATAGTAGCCGATATAGGTATCCCTATAGACCCCTTTTTTAAGGAACCCTATTCTAATTTTATAGGTAAGCAAGGTAATTATTGAGGCCCAGAAAGTAGGTCTTCAGGGCTCAAAGGCTTGCCAGGCTTCAGGGGTTTAGGGTTTAGGGTTTAGGGTTCAGAGTTTTAGGATTCAGGGCTTCGGGTTTTAGGGTTTAGGGATCAGGGGTTAGGGGTTTAGGATTTTGGGGCTTTCCAGTTCCGGGTTCAGGTTGAAGAATGCTGTGGGGGGGGGTGTGGGGGGGTGGGGGGGGGGGGGTGTCATGACAAAACTGCGACAAACATTTTATCCGCCAAAGAACAACCCCAAACATGGTAATGGAGGGATCATGGGACTTAGTAACTAGTGTTATGATTAGGGTAACTATACTTATAACCCCAGTTATGGTACTTATAACCTTACTTACTAAGTCCCATGACCCTCCAAGTACACCAACACACCCAGCTCTACAGATGTTGTGTAAGGCTACCGCAGTAGCACCACGTTGGACATGAGCACCGGCACGGTGAGGACCTGAAACGTGGCGGTTGCTTTTGCAAGGGTTGTTTGGTCGCTCAGCTTGTGGAGGCTTCAATAAAATGGAAGAGGGCTTCTGGTGTATGTTACAATATAAACGAACTGGGAACGACAAGGAGATATGATGAGAAATTGCCACACCTATGTCTTACATGTTGAGAGTGTCACAGCACGAAATGAGGACACCCGTCGTCGCCGCCACCGCCACCACCACCACCACCACTACCGCCACCACCACTACGAACTGCAGTTTTGCATCATTCAGCCTCCAAACACATTCTGATATATATATATATATACAAGGCTTCGAAAATACCAGGGCAATCGCACATACAGCTTGTCAGGATCGGAACAAGGACCCTCGACCCACCCAAAAAACACCGTCGGATGACGCATCCCAAAGCCCTATAATATAGGGCCCTTAATAATTAGAATAGGGTTTTGCGGCCCAATTTTACTATACTTATAATAATAAGGAGCCCCCAAAATAGTAGAGGTACTTATTAAGGCTCCTATATTGAACCCAACCAGAGCCCACAGCATCTCAGCCTGCAAAGACCGGAGCCATGTGAAAGGCATCACACATATCCTGAGTGGACGGGTTGATGATATGATTCCTGCACTACCCATAATAAGGAATATAACATAATTCCCATAGTTTAGGGTCTTTAAGGTAATGCATGATTTATATCATCAACAGAAGCTCGGGTCACGGAATCTCTGCTGCTTACATTCCAGGTTCAGCCACAGGGCTCGCGACAAGCCGTGAACAAATCCATGTCCAGATCAGGAAGCCAATGTGCGATATGCATGAACGGCAAGAGGCTCAGTAGCACTATTGATCTCGGGGTTCCGACAAACCCTGACGAAAAGGGCGGCGTGTGGCCTGCAGTCAAAGGGCAGGGCCCCCGTGCACATCGCAGCTCTGGACGGGCAGGCCGTGCCGGATGTCTCCAAGCACACCACATCCCGGACATTCTCGACCTCAAGGCAAGGTGCCAAGAGGCCATCGAAGTCTGTGGATTCGGTGCTGCTGAGAAGTTCACGGCACACTGTCACTTGTCCCACACTGGCTTTTGAAGCACATTTTCCGCAGCCCGCACTGCTCGCTGCGTCGCGTCGACTGCGAAAGCTGTTGAAACCTTTGCCGGCTGTCGCAGCGGCACATGCAAGCGGGCACACGCGTGTCCGCTGTGTCCAAGCAAATGCTTGTTGCACTTCTAGTAGACTAACACATCTGACTCATAGGTCCGAGAATCCTACTGCTAGTAGGGAACATAGGTGGACATCTCCTTTGTCAAGCCCTCCTTGTAGTACTCATCGTACCACTTGATGAACTTGTTGATGCCTTCCTGTAGTGGGGTAGTTGGCTTGTAGCCCAGCTCCTTCTCCGCCAGAGACACGTCGGCGCTGGTTTTGAGCACATCTCCCGTCGGGGGCATGGGAACATAATTCTTAATCGCCTTTTTCCCTATCGCCCTCTCGAGGCACTCAATCATGTAGGTGACTGTCACCGGATCCTGGGCTCAAGAGCTTGGGGAACTTAATTAAACGTGGAGCTACCATAAGAAGGAAGCAGACTTGTCACGTGCAGAGACACACGTGTGCACGCTCGCGCTGCGCGTGTACATGTGTATGTATGTGTGTAAACACACACACACATATATATATATATATATATATATATATCATAAATAGATGTGCACCAACACACACTCACAGACAGACATAGATAGGTAGGTAGATAGTTATATAGGTACATAGATACATTAGAGATATACCGGTATTACATATCAATATATACACAGCCCAATCATGTTAGCTTAAACTCCAGCTTCTGAACATGAACCCAGGGTCCTTGTTTCCAAGGTTGTAGACCTTGCAGTGTGCGGTGCCTTTGACAGACTCCGGGATCTTATCCACGGCCGCCACGCACCCCGTGACGATGTCGTCGATGTACGTGAAATCCCGCTCCAACTCGGAGCCACCGGGGCCCTGGAAGATCTTCAGGGCCTCTCCCTTATGGATCTTGATGGTGGCCGAGAAGGCGAACATGTCGGGTCGACCCCAGGGGCCGTAAACGGTGAAGAACCTGAGACCCGTCAGGGACAAACCGTAGATGTGGTTGTAGGTGTGGGCGATCATCTCATTGGCCTTCTTCGTGGCTGCATAGAGGCTCGCCGGCCGATCCACCTGATGCTCTTCGGAGAAGGGGCTCACGGTGTTCAGGCCGTAGACGGAGCTGGAAGATGCATAGACCACTCTGGGCTTTGGATCACAAAACCGACAGGCCTCCAAAAGATTGACGAAGCCCGAAACGTTCGATGAGACGTAGGATGCCGGGTCCTTCGTCGCATATCTCACTCCGGCCTGGGCTGCTAAAGCTAGGACGTGCGTAATGCCGTACTCCTTCAACACGTGGTCTACGAAGCTTCTGTCGTTAAGATCTGCCTTGAAGGTGTAGACGCCAGCTCGCTCCAACGTCTCCACCCGGTCATACTTGATGCCCACGGGGTAGTAGGCATTGAAGTTGTCCAAGCCGAGCACTCCATCACCTCGCTTTTTTAACGCAAGGGCGCAGTGGAAGCCCACGAAACCACCTGTCCCAGTGATGAGGATGACTCGACCTGTTGTGGACTTGCTGGACTCAGCCGCTGTCAATGCCGTCTTCTGATACTTCGCAGGGGGGCCATCTGTTGGCATGGCGTCCGCAAAAGTTGCCGGGACTGTAAAGCTTGAACCAAACCCGTCTCTGCGGAAGACAAACGCTGGAAAACCAGATAATATAGGGGCCTTGATAATTAGAATAGGGTTTCGGAGCCCATTATACTATACTTATGGTAAGAAACCGCCAAAATAGTATGGGTCACTATAAAGGCCCCTACAATAGTCCGGCTGCCTTGCAACCCATCTTGCAACGACTCGGTCGAAACAGACTCCACTCAGAGCTGGGCGATGAAGATGATGTCCTTAGCCACGATTTAGGGTTTAGGGTTTTGCCGTTGGAGTATGAGAATTAACTTCGAGCAAGCTGCCTCCGCTACATTTCGACATCTGCGGCTTCTAGTCACTAGTCTCCTATCTCTACCAGACTACCAGGCTATCTGTATGCGGAAAAAAGTACATATGTACATAAATGAATATAGATATACATGACAACTCATAGACGCATGCAGCCATCCATCCATCCCTCCATCCATCCTTCCCTCGTCATCCCTTCCCTTCCCTTCCATCCAATCCGTCGCGTCCCTCCCATTCCAGTCCATGCAGTCCATCCCATCCATCCAATCCATAATCTATCCAGTCCGATTCAATCCAAGTTAGCTACTTACATGCCTACATACGTACATACGTACGTACATACATACCTATGTGTGGGTGTGTATGTATGTGCGTATATAGTCTCTTATGCACTCACATACACACATATACATATTATACGTAACAGACAGACAGACAGACAGACAGACAGACAGACAGACAGACAGACAGACCGACGAACAGACAGACAGACAGACAGACAGACAGACAGACAGACAGACAGACAGACAGACAGACAGACAGACAGGCGATGTCTGCGCGCGTGGTTCGTGTATGTGTTTCTCTGGTAGTTGTCTACCCCTATCTACACTTATCCATTATTCTGTCGATTCCTATACCTTTAACTATATGTATCTATGTATGCTTATATGGTTAGCCATTTATCTATGTATGCATTTACGTATCAGTTTGCATGTATACCTATCAACTCATTTATTTGTATCTATCTGTAGTTGTGCAGAACTCTATGTACTCATCGACTTGTTTATATTTGTGCATGTGTATGTGTATGTATACATATACATATATATATATAATAATAATAATACATACATATATGTTACTTATGAGCTAAGCCACTTTCGCTTTCATCGCATCTAGCTCAGCCTCAAGGTTCTTTCCGATGGCGGCCGAGACACCGCGATGGCAAAGCCATACTGCGTGAGGATCAGGCAGAGATCCACCAAGATCTTGGCCTTTACTTAAAGGATCATGGGACTTAGTAACTTGGGTAAAAATTTAGGGTAACTATACCTAAAACCCCAATATTAAGGTACTTATAACCTTACTTACCAAGATCTTGGCCTTTGCGTTTCGGACTTGACGTGGAGTTCGGTGGTTCAGGGCCTCCCGGGCTTCGCTGTAGTTCACGGCCTTTTGGGGCTATAGGCCTCGAAGTTTACGGGTTGTTTTTTTTTTTGCGGGGGGGGGGGGGGGGGTGACAGTTTGGGTTCAGGACTTGGGTTGCGGAATTCTTTGCCCTCAGCCCCTACAAGTATATAATGTAGGAGCCTGATTAAGAAACCTTGGGCCTTTATTAGGGTTCCTTATATGAATCCCACTGTATTGGGGTTAGAAGCCCAGGGTGTCTTAAGCAGGTTCCTGCATAAGTCCCCTGAATACTACGACTAGAATAATATAGTACCCTTATGGATCCCTTATAGTAACCCTTATAGACCCCTTTAAAGGAACCCTAGGGTTCCTACACTAATTTCAAAGAGAACGGCCCAGCCTGGGCCGGAGATTGAGCCTCCGAGTGTAACAAGGGCAACAGCCCTCAGCCAAAACAGCCATGTAGATAAAGTGTGTATATATATATATATATATATGTATATATATATATATATGCATATATATATATATGTATATATATATGTATGTATGTATGTATATATACATATGTATTGTTACTATATTTTTTAATATATGATATACTATGCTTCTATTATTCATATGCTTTACTAAATTCCACCAACCCAAAACAAACAAGAAGCCAGCTAGGATCAAAGGTTTAGGGCGTTTAGGTTTAGACCAGTCTCTTGCAAAACCTTTTGCCACAAGAAAGCCCGACGTGCAGTTAGTCCTGCTCCAAGAGAATGTCCCTGTAAACGCGCAGTTCAGCCCAAGCCCAGTGAAAGCCCGCCAAAACCGTACCACGTGCACATGAAACCTAACCCCAAACCCGGTAAACCCTGAGCCGTGAATTCCGAAACACTGAAACCTGAACCCTGCCTAAACCTGCAGCCTCCATAGTCGCAGTTCCAACCTACTCTACAACTTGTCACCTTCCTTAGGGTGCACAGCTTAGAGGTTAAGGCTTAGGGTCCTATGACCTGAAGCCCAAACCCTACACCCTAAATCCGAAACCCTGAACCCGAAATCCTAAACCCTGAACCCCATAACACTGAAGCCCAAACCCCCAAGTGCAGGTCCCAGTCACCCGGCCCCCCAGGATACTCGATGCCAGGGCACCGAACGACCTTTTCTCATTTCTTGGATTTAGGCTTTAGGGTTTGGGGAAGGTGGGAGGGGGTTTAGACTTGATGGCTGGGGGCTTCGATCGGGGTGCTTTCATGGGTGTCCTGTGAGGGTTGCTTGCGGGTTTTGTGAATGGGGTGTTGTGGTTGAAACAGGAATTATAATTCTTTTCAGCGCTTCTTTACAAGTTTGTCAGGTGTTTTATGAATGTTCAGGCTTCTATAAATGCTCTCTAACACTGTACGGGTTCTTTGAGCCTTCTAGAAGGGGGTCAGGGGTTTAGGTTGCTACTTGCGCGGCTTCATCGTTGTGCTTCTAGCTGCGCAGGTTGGCTTTATAGGGTTTCGCAGGGCGCATACGCATTTACAAAGATGCTGTGGGGTTGTATCTGCTCGTGTCAGCTAGGAGGATCGTGGGACTTAGTAAGTAAGGTTATGAGTACCTTAATTGGACCCTAACTATAACCTAGTTACTAAGTCCCATGATCCTTTAAGTGAGGCGGTTTTGTGCTTGGTGGCCTTGCGTTTCGGCTGCCTTCGGCAGGGAGTTTAGTGGCATCTTGGGTCTTGGGGTGTAAGGTTCGGGATAACGAATATAGGGGCAACGAATATAGGGGCCTTAATAGTTAGAATAAGGTTTTGGGGCCCACTATACTATAGTTATACTTGTAGTTATAATAAGGAACCCCCAAAACAGTATCGGCAAGTATGTATTTAGGCCCCTGCATTAGTCGAGGGAGATGGAGGGGCTTCGTTTTGAAGCTCTTCTAAAGGCTTTTCAGATTTTTGGTGTCCGGCACCTGAGGATTTCGAAGTCCCCCTCCGGCCGTGAACCTTAAACCGAAAACGGCCCTAAACCCTAAGGGTTTAATATATGGGCCTCAATAATTAGAATAGGGTCGCGGGTTGGTAATTATTTAGGCCCGTATAGTAGGGACTTCTAGACGAGCTTTATGCTGTTGGCTGAGAGGATGTGGAGCCCTTGTGACAACTGGAAGCTTACAGCCTTCCAGGAGCCCTTATGATACCCTTCTTGTCAACCTTCGAGTAGCCCTTGCACTTGAACGCTGTAGAGCCCTTAAAGGAAGCCCCCCGAAAATCCGGAAGCCCAAGCCAAGCGAATGGGGCAGTCCGACACAACATTATGCATTTCCCAGCAGCCCCCTCATCATGCGGCCCTTTTTCCCACTCATCGGTTTTAAGAAGGAGCCCCTCGAAAGAGCGGACCTAGACACGGAACTTTCGGAAAACCCAAGCCCTCAGCCTAAACTTCCAACCCTGATCCCAAAGAACTCCCGAGAAACCCCAGTTCCGGGACCCCCAAGTTCAAGAAGCCCACAAGACCCCAAACCTCTCACTATAACACTCTTTAAACTCCCAAAAAGACAAGTCGTGACTGCTTTACCCCTCCCACCCTCCGAAGTTGCAAAGGCACGAGATCAATGTTTCTTGCTGGATGCGGAAGCTCCACAAGAAATAGACATCCTCGTGCTGAACGAGTTGACTCGAGCATAAGGTTGCCTTCAAGGTTTGCGCCTGTCCTTGCCCCTATCCCGTTTGGGAATGGGTGGGCGGGAAAGAAGATTCATGCCTCCGGTCGGAGGCTTGAGCAAGAGAAGTTAGCCACCGACCCTGTAGCAGTCTGCGGCTTTGTCCTTCGCAACAAGTTCGCTGCGCTCACATGTTGCTGCGCGACAAGTCGTGACTGCTTTACCCCTCCCACCCTCCGAAGTTGCAAAAGGCACGAGATCAATGTTTCTTGCTGGATGCGGAAGCTCCACAAGAAATAGACATCCTCGTGCTGAACGAGTTGACTCGAGCATAAGGTTGCCTTCAAGGTTTGCGCCTGTCCTTGCCCGTCATGCCCCTGGCGCGCTCTGCATGCACCTCTTGCATCCTGTGAGGATGGCGTTGTCAGTCACGAAGCTATAGTTCGAGAAGCCGAAAGGCCAACCGCAGCCAGTCTTCCAGAGATGCGGAGTTTCTCCTTCGAAAACAGGATCAACTGCATGCACAATGCCGCTTCTGTGTGAACGGATCTTCAGCGATGGGAAAACGCACGACTGAGCTGGTGCGTGATTTCCCCCTTGGACTGTTTGCTTCGCCACCAACTCTTTTACTGCTGCGAGCTGAAACTGAATGTCGTCCTTGAGTTTGTTACTTTCAAGGATAAGCTTTTCCACTAGCTTGTCGACATCGATCTGGGGTTTCCCTTCCGAGCTGCCCAGCGCCGGCATGCTAGCTAAAGCTTCCTTGGCGTACTCTAAGATGACATCAGACTTCCATCTTCCCAAGTGCTTGACCTGCTGCAGCGCGTGGCCTTCCCGGATGTAATGCAAAGCACCCGACCTCCGTGGGGAGTGCCCCGTCGTCTCTTTGCCAAACAAGGCTTGCCAAGCCTTGATTGTGGCTTCCTTGTTCGCCTTGCCTCCTCCTGAGGCTGGACACAGAGGACCTGGTCCCTTCATGCCCTTCGCGAGGTGGAAGGCTTTAGCGTGCTCGACCAAGTCTTTGGACACCTTGAGCGGGCAGAGTTGAGAACAAGTACCCTCGCAGATGCACTGCAAAGTCCTGAGTGTTCCTTCGGCTTCTGGGTCGGTTTTCGACTCTGCTAGCCACAGTTGCACGAGGCCGCCTGTTGCAAGCTGTCTTGCCCTTCTTAGTCCGAGGTTCACCAGCAGCGGAAGCGACCCGCAGAGGTACTTCCTTCGCCTTCTTTCGGGGACCAAGGCGCCTCGAGAGACTTTTCTTACATAGCTGCATTACTCGATCGAGTTGGTGGGTCCAAGCGTGACCTCGTTCAACATGCACTAGCTTCAATTCAAGCAAATACGATGCCCCGGATCTGTACTTTGCCTTCTTAAAGTGCGCAGCCACGACTTCTAGCGTCCGGGGTTGCAAAGGGAACACAGAGCCATCCTTCTTCACCTTCGACGCCAACCTGAGGACTGTCCTACGTCTTGATGACTTAGGTTTCGTGGTGGTCACGGCAAAGTAATCCGTCCTCAAAGCCTTGACAGCGTCTGCCTCGTCGCTCGGGGACAATGGCGAGAGCCTTCGTTTCAATGCCCTTTTCGATGGGAGGAGTGGAACTTCAAACTCAGTCTGCGCTTCTGAGGCGAAAGGCTTTCTCCCGGTTCCAAGCCGGCTTTCCTGCAGGAGTCTCTGCGACCAAGTTTGAACTGCCGGAGGCTTTGGCGGGAAAGTGTTGTCCCTGCTCGCTTCCTGCACTGAAGTGAGGAGTCTCCCCAAACCTGCATCATGCACTTTCTTCTCTGGAGGAGCAATGAAAGAGGGAACAGCTGAAAGAAAACCCTTCACTGGAAGCATCTTAAGAGAGCTTCCTGTTCTGGGTGTTTCCGGCGTCAGAGAAGGAGACTTCACGGCTAGAGCCCCAGCAGCCTCAGTGGTTGCCAGGCGAGCAACCTCCTGGCTAGCCGAGGACGACGCCGAATCTTCTTCTGAAGCTAAATCGCTCTTGGAGAAAACTGCCCGAGCTGTCTCGCCCTTGGAAAGCTTTGCCTGCCATGGTGCTGGCGGCACCGCGAGACTGTTTAGGTTAGTCGGAGAGACTTGGCCGGGGAGCAAAGTAGCCAGTCCATTGCCAGGGGCATCCTTTGTGCTAAACGCCCCTCTGACTAAGGAAAACAAGCCTGCCATTGAACCAGTCAGCTGAGCGGGGAGCGAAGTTTGCTCCTACGGTGAAGCTTGCAAGTCCTGCGCTACTAGCAACGACCGACCTGGCATCACTGTACTGTAAAGAACAGAGAGGGGCGGAAACATTGCTGCGAGCTCTGTCCTCTCTTTGTCTGGCCCTCGCGGAGCGAAGTCGAGCTATGTCCGACCACGTCCCCAGGGCGTCTACCAGGGGTCCTCCCACTGGCAGGTATGTTTCGAGAATACTGACACTCGCGGGACGAAGCCTGGGCCATGCCCGACCACGCCCCCAGGTCTCTGCCAGGGGTTCTCCCACTGGCAGCACGTGTTTGAAAATGTACCCTCGCGGGACGAAGGCGCGGCTGTGCACGACCACGCCCCCAGGGCTTCTACCAGGGGTCCTCCCACTGGCAGCTGTGTGCCGCAAATTTAACCCTCGCGGGACGAAGCGACGGCCATGCCTGACCACGCCCCCAGGGATTCTACCATGGGTCCTCCCACTGGCAGCTCTGCAACGAGGCCGCGGCTGTGCCCGACCACATTCCCAGGGACTCTGCCAGGGGTCCTCCCGCTGGCAGCTTACTTCAAAGCAGGCATCACTGCAGAGGCAAGCTCAACGAACATGACTTTTGCAAGAACGGTTACTCTCCGAGCAGGTGCTGCCACACGCAGAGTTTGCGGGTGGTTTGCAAAGTGAAAGTAAGTAGACCACGGCTGCGAGCCTGTTGAAGGTCCACGACTGCGCCTTTGGCGTGTTTCAAGACTGCGGAACGGTGTTGCTCTGACCTCTCATGCGGACGGGACAACCAGTCCGCCACCTTGTTCGCGGCACCAGGAACATGCACTGCTTTGAACTCTTGGATGTCAATCTGTTCCAGCAAGAATGCCAGCTCGGCTCCAATGAGGTTCAAGGTGTCGTTGGGGCTGCTCAGCTTGCCGGTGAGAGCTAAGGCGATGACAGAGTCTGAACGGAGGGTCAGAGTGACCGAATCCGCCAAACTGTGTTGCCATTGCCACACAGCAACCAACACAGCTAAAGCTTCGCAGATGCCCTGGCTACTGGAATCCCCATGTCTGAAGCCAAAGTATTCGGCGTCTTGCTTGGTAACTCTTGCCTCGAGGAACTTGGTCACTACCCCGTTGACGGTGAGATAGGCTCCTAAGCCCATAGGTGATGCGTCTGTCGTAATGACTGCCTGAGGCCCCAGGTCAGAAGGCATGATGTTCACACATCTCGTCGGCTTCGCTTCCACCGCATTGGCCAGTTTGAGAAGCCAAAGGTGAACGTGGTTGAGCCGACTGACATAAAACATAGCCTCTTTGCCCCTGTTGTCTTTTCGAGCTTGTCGACGACGTTCTTCTGTGCCGGATGCGACCTCGGCTAATCTGGAATGAAGGGCTGCGTAGAGCATGCGGGTTGCCCACCGAGTGCGTGGGAAGATGCCGGAGAGCCATGCCGCTTTTCCCGCTGCGCGACGCAGCTCTTTGATCGGGGCCATGCCACTACTCCAGCCCTGAAGCAAGCTAGCAAGGTCTTTCAGAAACTTCTCCGACACTCCCAACAGGATGTGATCGCACTGGGTGTGTGTGAATACTACTCCGCACCAAGTGACTTCACGACCCCTCGCGCCCTTCGCCAGCGAGACGATGAAGCCCAAGGCCCTCAAGGTGTAAAGGATGAACGCAAGAATGACATTCCGTCGGCGCAGACTTCCCTGCAAGGCCCATAGCGCGTCGTCCAAGTAAGTCTGGTGCGCTGCCTCGACGGGGTCCAGTGCGCACTGGAGGATCCTCGAAGTTAACGCTGCCAACCGAGCCCACACAAGCGGAGCCGTCTTGAAGCCCAACAGGACGGCAAGGAACAAGATGATCTCCCCTTCCTGCGGAGATGGGGCCATACAATGCTTGATCTCGTCGGGGTGCACTGCTAGATGCATGAACGCATCGTGCACATCAATGATCACCCACTCCTTAGCCCAGTCCTCTGTGTCCCAACCATGCCGTTTGTATTTGGTTTTCAAGCTACTTTTCTTCTTGTGCTGAAACTTCACCATCTTGATCACGTCTCTGGGCCTTGGAAGGGTGAGTCTTTCGCGAAGCTTAGCTTTCTTGTTGCCAGTGCTGCGTTTCAAGTCGATCACAATCCTTCTTTTCAGACTTCCATCCTGTTTGGTCTTGAGAATCAAACCGAGCTTTGAAATCGTTCCTGCGCCGTATCGCCGCTTGGCCTCCGACACACTGATTCTTCGCAAGTAGCCCTCACGTTCATACCGATTTAGCTCGATGTCAGCTTCACCCTCATTCATCACCACAGAAAGGTAATTGCGAAGAGGGTTCCCGTCCAAAACCTCCGCGGCTGTGATTAACTCTTCTTGGGGTTCCTCAGCTTCCGCTGGTGGGAAAATCCCGCAAGGTTTGATTTCTCTGGCCATGCCGAGCGGGGTGCCGTCAGCGATCCAATGATGGACTTCGGATTCTGGATCACCTGCCGACCTACAATAAGCTTCAAACAAGTCTGCATGCAATGGCGAGGTGAATGTGTGAGCATCTTTGAGTCTGACTGCATCGAGACCCTTCGAGCCCGTGACCTTTCGGAGGCAAGACCTCCACTCTTTTGTGATGTGCACGTCTTCCGTTGCGTCCTTCGTGCCATAGCGCTCTGCGAGATGTAGTGCTTGTGGGTTCCTCGTCACAAAGGATTCCCACGCCGCAATCATTCTCACCCCCAATGCCCTAGCCGAAGGAAGTCCCAGAACCGCCAATGCAGGATTGCGCATGCCTCCAAGGTGTGGCTTCTCCTCATTCACATGCTTGGCAGGAGACTCCACCTTCCCGTAGTTCCCCGCGCCTGGTTTCCAATCAGCGGAGGGGTCCTGATTGTTTGATGCAGTGGAAGGCGCTGCCGAAGAAGGACGATTGATCATAACAATGTTCTTGTACGGGGGGCCTGATCTTGGGTTTGAGTGACTAGGTTTGGCTTCTGAGCTTTTGTATGCGCTCGGCGCTCGAACCTTCGTGCCCTCCACGGCCTGAAAGCTGTGGGCGAGTTGTTCTGAAACCGGAGCCATATCATCAACCTTCAATTGAATGTCAAACTTAGCCTTCGCTTTCTGTGATTTCGGATCTTTGGTGCCCTGTGGTGTCATCGTTAACTCCGCGATCGCCTTAGAAAGGTAATTCTCTTTCAATTTCAACCACTCCAAAGTAGCCATTTTCTCCAAGTGCTCCACAATGAGGTTCGCAAACTTGTCACATAAAGCCGGCGGGTACTCGGCAGTATCTTTGGAGTCGGTGATGGTCACTCCTTTGTGGTTACCGCAGGTACACGAACATGCTGCCGACATCGAGCTCAAATCACGTAAGGAGCCCAAGAACCGCTGAGGTTTGAAGATTTTGTTCCCCTCCTCGAGTTCTGGTTGGAATGCGCACGTAGGGAAAGCTGCCCAATCCAAATCTCCTTTGAGAAGTCCTTCATCTGCGAAGGTTTTGACCTCTGGGAGTTCCCACGCTGACAAATGTTGAGGGTGCGCCGAAGGTGGAGGATTTTCTAACGTTACCGGCGGCTTAATCCCTGACTTGTTGTTGGCGTTGAGCACGGCCTCTGCAATGAGCACGCTTCGAGCTGCCAAGATGGTACCTTGGTCCGCCTCGGCTTGCCTACGAGGTGATTGGCTTGGTATGCCGTACGGAAACTCTTTGGATCGGACGGGTGCTGGACCACCTTGTACCTCTCTCCATCTAGCTTTCGAAAACGTAGCGCACGGAAAACCTGCATGGAATCCATCCCAACCACCCTGTCTTGCTTGAGCTAGATGATCACAAAAAGGCTGTTCGAGAGCCAGGTCACAACCCGTAGCCAAATCACATGAAGTAACATTGACATTCAGTCCACGTGATTTGGCCTTGACTCGAATGGCCATGCCCAAAGGGTCCCGTGGACCCGCGAAATGATGAAGGTACCTGAAAACCCTCGTTTCCTTGTACTGCTCGAATGATGGTGTACTCGCATGCTCAATGTTGTCTCTTGGTTCATCTCCTTGTCCTTGTTCCTGGCCCTTTTCCTCATCTTTACCTTCGTCACCATGAGGAGCATCGCCTCTGCTTTTCTTAGTTTGCGCGGAGCCCTTGGAGGTTGAGGATCGCTTCCTCTTCTTCTCGCCGGCTGCGTAAACCATGACCGGAATGAAGCGAAGCTCACCCGACAAAGACATCAATACTAATACACTCACTTCTTCTTCTGAGGGCAGTCCTTTGAGGGATGCCCTGGCGAGCCACAGATTGTGCAATTGTGCTCCCTCTTGACCTTCGACTGACAAGGAGCTCCAGGTGGTAAACCAGCGCAGGGCCCGTTGCCATTGTTCCAGCCATAACACTTCTGACTGCCCTGATTCCCGCTTGCGGTGCCCTTTCCGCTGCCTTTGCCACCACCTTGCACGAAACCTGTAGCGGAAGCGCGATATTTCTTTAAATCCTCCTTGTCCTTTGCACGCTTCCTTTTTCGTGCTATGGCCCTTGTGCTGCTGCCCCTGTCTGCGCCACCAACCACCTCCGGGGGAGGGGTGATGGCGGCTAATCCACCAGGGATGTTCGCTGCCGCATAATCCTCTTGGGGAGTGCTGGGGATGCCTCTGCCGCCCTTGGCCAGCCAAGTCAGAGCGGGTTGATGTAGTTGTTCCTGCCAATAGTCCTGACTGTCCAAGATCTCCTTGAAGACGGCATCCCAAGGATTTGATTGTGTCCAACCCGGTGGAGGTGAGTCCCCGGCGGCCACTCTCATCGTAATCCTGTGTGCTACCCTTGCCGATAGCTCTGCGCGTGCTCTGTCTTCCGCCGTGTAGACAAGATGCCAGCAGTTCGTGTATCGTCTCGCCATCCTCTCCACGAACTCTTCGTACGCTTGCAAGCGAGCGACACTCACCACATTTAGCATAATCAGTGCTGTGCGGTAGACTTTGTAGCAAGCTGACCACTGGGTAATAGAGGCAGGTCCAGGAAGCTCTTTCAGCATGTATTCCCCCTCGCCCACGGTGACAAACGACCTGAACTTGGAAGCCTTTAAAGCCTTGCGGGCAAACGGGACAAACACAGAGAACTCTGCGTAGGGAGGCAAGCCAGAGCTCGTTCTGCGCTTCAAGGCGAGGTATTGTTCCAACGAAGGTTCGGACTCTTCTGTTGGAGGAGCTCCCATTGTTGCGATGTATCTTTCGAGAGCCTGGAGGAAGTCCTTCGAGCTGTTCTTGCCCACGACCAGTTCCGAGTCGTCCGACTGGTCGAGAATTGTGGCCATTTTCACCTTCCGCTCGCTGTCCGTCACCACCGCCGCAGATGGAGTCGCGGTAGCTTGACGGGTTGTTGATGCAAGAGACTCCCAAGGATCCGGATCCACCCAATCGTCGATGCTCCTGCCTGACTCGACCCACATACATCTCCTCGCCAACCTCCAAACAAGCCCCACCTGAGTGGCCTGAACTACTGAAGGAGCTGAGCCATCCGCCAATGTCATTGATTCCACTGATCTTGCAAAGATGTTGGCTGGAATAGCCGCCAAGTTGCGGATCTCGTCGGCGAAGTCGCCTAATTTTGACTCCAAGGCATCCCAAACTGCTTGTGGCACTCGGTAATGAGTGCGAAGTGCAGAAAGAGAACTCATAGAACCCATAGCAATCACAGAAGGAAACATGGCCGCTCGCGAGGAGAAGGAAAGGATAAAGGAGTAAAAGAAGATTCATGCCTCCGGTCGGAGGCTTGAGCAAGAGAAGTTAGCCACCGACCCTGTAGCAGTCTGCGGCTTTGTCCTACGCAACAAGTTCGCTGCGCTCACATGTTGCTGCGCTGCCACAGCACCTAAAGCCCTAGGTTCGGGTTTAGGGCTTAGGGCTCGTGGTTTAGGCTGCAGGGCGTGGCGTGGGGGCCAAATCCTGCAAACCCCCAATCCCCTAAACCTCAAACCCTCGGTGAATCCTGAACCCACACACACACACACCCGAAACCCTAACGCGAACTCCGAAACCTTAAGCCCTAAACCCCCACAATCCGGCCTGGTGCTGGTTCTGGTTGCCAGCTTTAGGAGGAGTCCCATGCCTTTGGAGTACTTAAAGGATCATGGGACTTAGTAAGTAAGGTTATAAGTACCTTAATTGGGGCTATAAGTTTAGTTACCCTAATTATAACCCTAGTTACTAAGTCCCATGATCCTTTAAGTAGGGGGCCGCTTCCCGTGCTTCGGTGCCACAGTGTTCAGTCAAGGGCTTTTTTCGAAGGCCTAAGGGTTAGGGGAGTTTTTTTGAGGGCCGTTTTGGCACTAAGGGACTTTGGGGTTTAGGGTTTAGGAATACATGATTCGATCCTTTACTACCCTGGAGATTCGCAAAGGTTTCGCGCTCCTGGTGCCTGGTGCTGAGTTCCCTACCTCGGACTCTAAACCCTTAACCCTATCCGCACACCTGTTCTCCCAACCGAAGCCGTAACAAAGCTTTTGAACATCGAACTCCCCCAATTTCAGTCAGGCCACAATGGTGTGACAGCGCCGCCACACACCTTCGAAGGCAAGCGCAGGTCTTTTAGGCGAGGATCTGCCGAATATCAGGGCCTCAATGCTGAGAACATAGATTCCACATGAACCCGCGTATATCTTCCTAAGGACTTTACCGGGAACCCATAAAGGATCCTCAAGGGGAACCGAGGAAGGAACCCTTCAGGGGACACTACGTCTCATTTTCCAAAGTCGATCCCGGGCAGGCCTTCTTGCAGCTCTGTGTGGGTGGCAACACGAGCTGACGGAAGAGACTAATACAAGGTCCTCAACAATTGGAAAAGGGTTTCGGGAATATCACACTGTAGTTAGAAAAAGGAGCCCCCCAAACAGTACAGGTAATTCCTATAGCAAACCCCTTGAGCCCTAAACCTTGAAGCCTGAACGCCAAGCCTAAGCCAAAGCATGTAGTCATAAGGACCCGTAGGGGGTAGGGAGGAGGGGGGTAGGGTGCCTTAATGCCAAAAATAAGGACTTAACAAAGCATTTTTGCGGAAATTTAGTCCCCTACCCCCTAAGGGTCCCTATCATGTAGGGGCTCACCAAGACTTCATCAGGGCTTTTTGCGAGCTTCAGAACATTCAGTTCGGGACAAGGCCCGTACCGTACACGAACCCAAACCCCACACCCCAAAACCCTACACCCTAAACCTCTACATATCAACTCCCTGTCCAGGAACACCCCCAAAACCTTACACTCTTCACCCTATAATATAGGGGCCTTAATAGTTTGAATAGGCTTTTGGGGTATGATATACGAGAACTTTTTACAAGGAACCACCAAAGTAGTATAGATAATTATGAGGTCCCTATGTTAAGCCCTGCCCCCAAACTCCCTGTCCAGAGGCCTAAACCCTAAACCCTAAAGAGACCCAAGTCTGTCGCCAAGCCGCACGAGCCCCACAGGGCCAAGGATGAGGCCACCCTTGGCCTCACGTTTAAGGTTTAGGGTTTAGGCCCCATACAGTAAGAGTCTATAATAGGGCTACTATTACTGTGATGTCCTACTATGTCTATAAAGTTTATGAATATTATCCAACTGTTACTGAGTGGGGGGCAGTACCCAAGGTTTAGGGTTCATCAATGTGCTTTCAGGGTTTTTGGAAGGGCCTCCCAAGGCTTAAGACGGACAAGGGATCCAAAAGCGAAGGGGGGGCTTCTTGTATGGAGGACTTACAAAGTACAGTAGGGGTCTGCTATGGTCTACTATACTGAACTTAGAACTCTAGCAAAGATTGTAATTTTAGCTGCTTCTTAGGGATTATAACAACCAAAAATTAACAAATATTTCTAAGTATCCCTAAGTGTACATTCCATGTTCCTGATTTTCTGAGGCTGCGGAGATTTGGGGACGAGGGCTCCAGTACTTGCGGATGTCGCCCACCCGAACAAGAACAACCTACTATGAAGGCCTTGATGAGTAGAATAGGGTTATAGGGCCCATTTTCCTATAAACAGCCTAGAGAAAACCCAAAATACTATAGGCAAGTATTCAGACGCCTATAGTACACGTAGATTACACAAGCCAAGCATACATCCAGTTGACGTACAAACATAAGGGCCTCCTTCTTTGTAAAGCTTTTCATTGATAGATTGGGGCAAAGGGAGGGTTCAACGTTCAACACCTCGGGCATATGCTTTACGGCACACCATACTGATGACGGTGATGACTGTGATATGATTGGCTTAGTTAGGCTTAGTTCTATTGCTATTGGCTCAGTTAGGGATAGTTAGTTCTGTTGCTATGACAATGATGGCCATGACGACGATCCGACTGTGGGCCGAGATGGCAGGCTTGGCTCGAGCAGTTTTTGCGAATGAACCTTAAACTGGCGACGCTTATATCTCACTGTCCACGAAAGCTAGGCCCCGGGCCGTCGCAAACGGGAGTGTCCTAAGCAAGGTCGTCTCTGAAAGTCGGGGCAGGGAGGTTCAGAGAGTCCTAGCGGCTCAGTCACGGCTATGGATATATGTGGTCGATATCTGAGGTCTGCATGGGTGCTTCGGGTTCGGTAGAACCATATATACTTAGGTTTGAGGGCGATGCCATGAACCTAGCTAGCAAACTAAAGAACAACAACAAGAAGAAGAGCAATAGTTTAGAAGGGGCCCCCACCCTATAATAGTGGTATAATAGGAATATAATAAGGCCCTAATATAATCCTTATAGTCACTGTTACAGGGTGGGGGCCCCTTCTAAGCAATCGTACTAACATTAACTGGTGAAGCCCTACATCTAGACCCGAAGCTCACACCCTATTCTATCCCCTATGCCCAATGATCCTAAAGAACCCAAGACCCTTTGGTTCTCAAACCCCAAACTTGAAGAAACAACAATTTGAACCTTAAACCCCTCCAAACCTGATAGAACTTTGACAGAAACCCTAAACCCTTTAGATTCATCCGCGCTTTTTGTGCCACGCCGGCACGAAAACTTCGCCCGAGCTCACGGAAGGCGACGCGCCGCGTGCTGGAGCTCGGTCCTCAGAGCTTGCATGGGTTTAGGGTTTAAGGCTTAAGGCTTAGGGCTTAGGGTCTAGGGATTAGGGTTCAGGGTTTAGGGTCTAGGGTTTAGAGTTTAGGGTTTAGGGCTTAGGGTCTAGGGATTAGGGTTCTGCAAGGGTTCTTGAAGGTTTCGATAGCAAGGATGAAGTTTCTGTTGAAAGCTGTAACGGTTGTATACTGGTTCTACGAAAACTCGATAAGGGCTCCATATGGGTAGTTGTCAAAATTATGGTCCCTTTGTGGGTCCCTATTATAATACGGCACCTAGTATTTAGGGTACCCAAAAAGGTACCATAATTTTGACAACCACCCATGTGAAATGGGGGTGCGGGGTATTCGGGGTTTAGGGGAATGTGGGTTATGGATTTTGGGGTTATGCGCATATATAAGTCGAGAGCTGAGGGCGCATTCAGACTTCCTAAACTTCAGCGAGCACTACCGCTCAACTCCAGAAAACCCTCTCCCTCAATCCCCGAATCTCAAACCTAGAAGAGAATCCAGAAGTTGCGAGCTTCGGGCTTTCAGGCTTTCCGTGCTGTAAATGCGGGCACCAGCACAAGATCTCCGCGGACTTCTCTTGGGGTTTACAGAATAATTGGTTGGGACCGGACGCGAGGTTTAGATAGAGCCACGTCAAGAAGCGGCCGTCCACTCTAAAGCCCGAACATCCCAAAACTCTAACCTGCGAACCCCGAAACCCGGAACCTCTGCAAGGGTAGAACCTGTACAACATCTCATAACAACCCTCACAACGACTTCTTTCACGAAGTTTCTAGTGGCGCCAAAAGTAACCCCTCAACCCCACGTAGAGCCAAAGCCCTCATCATCCTGCCCAAAAATAAAGTTATTGTTTAAGCCCCTATATTAAGCCCTCATAGAGACCCTCAAACCCCAACATTCTCATCCCGGAGCTCGGTCGGGTCTCGGCTACAGCGGAACTCTGAGAGCACTGCAAGCGCCCCGGGCCTGGCCCCAGCCCCAGAGACAGGTCTCCTCAAAGGACTTTTTCGTGGGTTTAGGAGTTTAGGGTTTAGGGGTTTAGGGGTTTAAGGGTTCAGGGTTTAAGGGTTTTAGGGTTTAAGGGTTTAGGGGCTTAGGGTTTAAGGGTTTAGGGTTTAGGGGTTTAAAGTTTAGGGGTTTAGGGTTTAAGGGTTTAGGGGTTTAGAGGCTTAGGGTTCTGGGGTTTAAGGGTTTAGGGTTTAGGGGTTTAGGGGTTCAGGGAGCGGCAAGTCTCCTGAAAGGACTTGTTCCAGGTTGTCTCTGTAGGAGTTATCGAAAATTGCCTTATTTTGTGGTCCTTAGAATAAGGATCCTACTATTTAGGGTACTAGATTAGGGTCCCCTGTTTTTGGAAAGGCAGTTGAGGGCTGTTCTTTGTCCCTGCGTCTTATAGGTACGGTTTAGGGTTTAGGGGTTAGGGTCAGGCTAGGGTCAAGAGTACTGCCTGATACATGCGCACGCGAAAGCCCAATTCCAAATCAGGGCAAGCATACATACCGCCTTGTCGTATGCTCCGGCAGCAAATGCTGGGAGCGCGCAGCCACGACCTTACCCGACCAACATTAGCAAACAGGCGACGGGAACGATGGACAACTGCAAATTGATGTCTCTGTGAAGACATGGTCGAAACCTGCCAAATCATGC